AGAGAGAGAGAGAGAGAGAGAGAGAGAGAGAGAGAGAGAGAGAGAGAGAGGGAGAGGGAGAGGGAGAGGGAGAGAGAGAGAGAGAGAGAGAGAGAGGTAGGTAGTTACCCCATGAGTTGCTTTCGTTTACAGGCAGCCCGTTCCAGTTCCACGTTGACAACATCACGTCAGGCAACGTGACGGCTTACGGTCCCGGTCTGATGCACGGCGTCGCCGGTGAACCCGCGACCTTCACCATCGTCACCAAGGACGCCGGCGCCGGTAGGTGGCAGCACTCGCCAGACTCTCGCACGTCGGAACTAGTGAATGCGATTATGCCGGGCGTGTAGGATGGAAGTATCACTGAGACATATACATAATACATATATATATATATTTATACATATATATATATATGTATATGTATATATATATACACATATATATATATATATATAATGTTTGTCACCTCACCGCTCCCGTGTGGTGTCCTGGTGTCCTGGTGTCCTGGTGTCCTGGTGTCCTGGTGGCTTGACACTGATGTCGTGTTGTCTTGTCTGTTCGCAGGAGAATACAACGTGAGCATCAAGTTCAACGACGTGCACATCCCCGATTCTCCCTTCAAGGTCAACATCGCTCCCACCGTCGGTGAGGCCCGGCGTCTAGAGGTCGGCTCTATGCAAGACACCGTCAAGGTAAGAGCGTTAGTCGTCCGTGATGCTGCCGGCGAGGTGGTGGTGGTGGTGGTGGGGGGTCATCGCAGGAGTCAGAACCTCATTCGTCCACGGTAAAATACATTGCTACTACTGACACGATATATTTGTAGAGACCTATATATCTTTCGCGTGGCCGTCAGAGGCTGATACTAGCCTCATGCTGTTTACTGTGACATCATGAGCGATAATTCTAGGGGATCCGATCAACCAGTAACCATCTTCCGCATAGTTAACGTGACAGTGCTGCCATCTGCAGGTCATTTTAATTGATTGTCGCTTGCAGGTAAACACTCCGGCGGCGTTCACCGTTAACTTCCATGGAGCCAAGGGTGACCTTGATGCCAAGGTCATCTCTCCCTCTGGTGCCGAGGACAAGGCGTTCATCGACCAGGTTGACAAAGGTATTGTGATGTGAATTTAAACAGTAGTATCCGTAGTTACTACTACGTTACGATGGCATTACGACTACTAACGACGACACTACTATACTATACTATACTATACTATACTATACTAAACGTAAAAGTCGAAGTTTGACTCCACAAACAACAGATCTTGATCAATTAGACTGGCACTTTACTCTCCATTCGATTTACCTGCTGTTCTACGGCAGACTGGGGTTGGAGTGAATGTCGCTGACGCGGCGCCGGTCTAACCGATGTTTTTGTCGTCGACAGAATCGTACGCGATCCGCTTCGTTCCGCGTGAGAACGGCGTTCACTACGTTCACGTTACCCTGAACGGCATTCACATCCGCGGCTCTCCGTTCCGTGTGCTGGTAGGCGAGGAGGGCCAGGGTGATCCTGGCAGGGTCAGGGTCTACGGAGAAGGCCTCACCCACGGCAACACAGGTAATCGTCATGCATAGCAACGCAGTGTGGCTAGGTAGGAAAGCGACAGTCGTGGGCCCCGAACATGGGGAGTGAGTGGCAGTGTAGGTGTCGTGAGCTGGACCGCTGCCCTCTATGTTTGCAGGTAGTCCGTTCACGGTGAAGGTAGACGGTGAAGGAGCGAACACACAGATGGAGCGGATTATCCGTCGCACTGAGACGGCCTCCGTCACTAACATCGGCAGCGAGTGCGAACTCAACCTCAAGATACCCGGTGAGAGAGCGTCGCGCGCGCGGGTCAGTCTATAGAGTGTGGCCCTCAGCTACACTCCTCCCTCACACATACCCAGGCTCTGCTGCTGCTGCTGCTGCTACTGGTGCGAGGAGGGAGAATGACGAGTTGGTGTATCGTGATGTAACGTTGTAGCATCATCGTAGTATCGTAGATCACTCGATTGTAATGGATTTCAGTAGCGTTACAAAGGTACGCCATCTTACGTCAAGCGAGTTCTGTGATGGTATTTATTATTTAGTAAAACAATTAAACAATACAATGAGTAAAACTTCACAGCATTGACATCTGGTGGATAGACTCCCCCCTACCTTCACACATGCATGATTTCTCCTGACACCCCCCTCCCCCCATTATCTGATTGCTCCTTAATATGCAGAGATGTTAGGGTTTGATCATAGCATTGAGCGAGGAGGGGGAGGAGGGGGAGGGGGAGGAGGCGGTCAAGGTGATGATGTCGAGGCGCACGCATCGATTATTAGTGATCGGGTCGATGGCGTCCGCGGATCGATGGCAGTGGCTGGCAGTGAAACACGCATGCGTCACATCAGTGTCGTTGTTGTCATCATCGCTGATCTCTCTGCTGCTGCTGCTGCTGCTGCTGTAGATACGAACCCTAACGAGATGATGGCACACGTGACGAGTCCGACCGGTCGTACGGAGAGCTGCACAGTGCAGCAGGTCGCTGACAACAAATACGGAGTCAAGTTTGTGCCGAAGGAGATGGGAGTTCACACGGTCAGCGTGAAACACAGGGGCATGCACATACCAGGTAAGCTCTCGTTATCTAGCAGGCAAGCCCTCGTTACCTGCCAGGTACGCCCTCATTACCTGCCAGGCACGCCCTTCGTTACCTGCCGGTACGACCTCCATTACTGCCAGCACGCCCTCGTTACCTTGCCAGGCACGCCCTCGTTACCTGCCAGGTACGCCCTCATTACCTTCCAGCTACAGTCACATAATTAACAGGGTTTGTAGCGGGTCTTCCAAAGTCTTATAAGTACTTATTTTTGCCAAAAATAAAATAAGGGCCCTGTATTAGTACTTATTTTTGGTGTGAAATCTTAGAAAAGTCTTAATAGTCTATTTTTTTGCCAAAGGACCATTTTTCTTGTATATATAATACGGAAAATTTTAAATCCTGCTGTGCAATTGTGTATATAAATATTATAGTGTACTTTAATAGTCTGGGATCTATCAGAAATCGCGTAAATAAAAAGGCTTATTTTGGCCTCCAGAAGGGTCTTATAAGTCACTTATTCTCAAATGTGTCTTACTACTATGAACCCTGGATAACCAATGTTGTTACATACAGGTAGAAACATAATTAGCCAGGTAGAGTAAGACTCAATGTAGACCTACAAGCTATTAGAACTCATATAGTCTGAGCGTTGTTAAAACAAGCCAAGTAGTGAAGCTGCAACTTTTAACCAATGCTAAACACGGTTTTCTATCTTGTACTTGCAGGCAGTCCGTTCCAGTTTACTGTAGGGCGCTGCAGGATGGTGGTCACACAAGGTTAGAGCTGGACGTCCCGGTCTGGAGAGAGGGAGAGGTGAAGGAACCATGTAAAGGTGTCTACTCATGTCACGTCCTATTCAGTTTCACGGTCACATGCACGATGGTGGAATCAGTCCTTGAGAAGTCATTATACACCAATGATATTTCTATCTCTTTCGGTTGTAATAAATTGTTCACGCGCATGTTGGATTGAATAGGTTAGAAGATGAACCAGAGCATTTTAAATCACATTTTTATTCCCATCATCTATGATATTACATATTTATCTCGGCACAATGCGTTATAGATCTCGAGTATTCGCTCCTGCGAATTCTGCGTCGATCGACCGGGGTGGGGGGTGCATGTTTATATAGGATCACAGCCTCTGACTCTCTCTCTCTCGGCTGGTGTTTACAGGGTGAGTTCAGCATCTACACCGCGTGAGCGGAGCTGGAGGTCTCTCCATCGCCGTCGAGGTCCAGGCAAGGCCGAGATCGACTTGAAGATCGCAAGGACGGATCGTGCGGAGTCTCCTAACGCTCGTCACGAACCAGTAAGTGTCTTGTAATATATATATTTCACACACAACATATTATATATACATATATAATGTTTGTCACTCACCGCTCCCGCGTGGTGTCCTGGTGGCTGGGGCTTGTGCTGTAGAGAGAGAGAGAGGAGAGAGAGAGAGAGAGAGAGAGAGAAAAAAAGAAAAAAAAGAAGGGGTGACAAACAGAGAGAGAGAAGACTCTCACACCTTCTCCTCTCGTTTGTAGGAGAAGGTCGTAAGAAGGCTCAGCTCTCCATCGGCACGTCGAGCGAGGTTTCGCTGAAGGTGGATGAGTCGGACGTGCGCACGCTGTCTGCAACCATCCGCAGCCCCTCAGGCATCGAGGAACCCTGCTTCCTGAAGAGACTCGCCAACGGTCACCTAGGTAACCCCCGGTGGCGCCATCGTGCTGCCATTATTATTAATATTTATTATTATTATTGATTATCGTTATAATTTCGTAAACAATATATTAGTTATTATTATTATTATTTTATTATACCTTATAAATTTTTAAATATTTAACACTTAATATTATTAGGCATTTTATTTATTTATCGCTCGAGCAACATTAGTTAACGTGAAATCGGGTAATTGGTGGGGCGTGTCGTCTCACCGTATAGACGCCAGGAGGCCCAGTAGAGATTGAGTCACACTCATGACTGTCGTCTGTGCAGGTATCTCCTTCACGCCTCACGAGATGGGAGAACACCTAGTGAGCGTGAAGAGAAACGGCATGCACATCCCCAACAGCCCCTTCAAGGTCAACGTGGGTCAGAAGGAGATTGGCGATGCCAACAAGGTCAAGGTTCACGGCCCGGGCCTGCAGCATGGCGTCACGCACACACTCAATGAGTTCACCGTCGACACTAAGGATGCTGGTGAGAGCCGTCACCATGGATACGCGGCTGGCGCGGTTGCCATGGATACACCGCTGCGGTAGCCCGCAAAACGTTTGAGAAGGGATAATATTTTTAAGGGATAAAATTGTTAACTATTAGTGGTTTCCATTGTTGCGAATTTGGTTGTGTGAGGCGGTTTGTTGGCTGCTTTCCTAAGCGCAGCGATTGTAGAGAAGCGATTGTTGTGTAAATACGTGGTGTTGACACGCTGTGTTCGCTGCACAGGTTACGGCGGACTGTCGCTGTCGATCGAGGGACCCAGCAAGGCGGACATTGACTGTAGAGACAACGAGGATGGCACCTGTAACGTCACCTACAAGCCGACCGAACCGGGAACCTACGTCGTCAACGTCAAGTTTGCCGACCAGAACGTCCCAGGTACGGTCGACGCACCACACACGCCCCGCGGATCACAACACCTACGCGTGCCACACCCTCGTGCTGCCGTCTATGTTTGCAGGCGGTCCGTGACTGACTCGTGCTGCCCTCTATGTTTGCAGGCGGTCCGTGATTGACTCGTGCTGCCGTCTATGTTTGCAGGTAG